GACCAGCCTCTTAAATTTTACACAAGAAACCAAAATTCATCATGCTGGCTTCAACAATGGAAGGCAAGATTGGTGGCTAACAGATTTTGTCTACTAATGTTTACCTGGGCCACAATGTACACCAATATAATTAAGCATTTGGTAAATGGCAAGAGAAGTCAGATGGCTGAACACACCCAATTTTCAAATGCTGAAATATTAAAATGAACAAACCAACTGTGTACGAATTCACATGTACATAACAGCTATCTGTAATAAGAAGCCTAATGAATGTGTACATGAAATAGAAAGCACAAAGCTTGTTCTATTAAGTAGCTGACAGGAACTTGTGCATTTCGTTCAAATTATAACTAAATTGTTGCAGACTTCCCATTGAAATCATCTTTTACAAAAATGTAAGTGCCAGAATTTCAGATGCATGTCTGAACCAACATTTTTTTTTAACAATACACCAAAGAGAATAATCTGGTAGTTGAGCTGCTACCATCTGACAGCTGCTTGATAGCAAAAGGTCTTATTGTTTCCACATCAGAAAATATTTCCAAAGAAGAAAAAAACACTATTAAAATTGGCATTCTTGCTGAACGGTTTCAGAAAAACGTTCAGGGGCTGAATGGATAGAAAAAGAAAGAAAAACATGGTGGTATCTTTTGATCAATGATAAGCTATATTGGCAAAACAGTGAAAAAAAATCCATTCAGGATTTGTCTCTGATCTTTTTCAAATGTATCAGGGAAAAATATTTGAATACAAGTCAGAAGTACCCCCAGTCCTGGAAATCTGGGGGAGGATAGTGAGGGGAGTTTTATTTACTTTTCTCTTTCAGAAATGAAAATGGAAAAAAGTGTTCTGGTAATATCAGTTATACTGACTATTTTTAACAGTTTCACTGTTTAAATGAAGCATCCAAAGGCCATATAATAACTGATTTAAATGTGTTCTGTATACTTAATTTTACTTTACTTATTTCAAGATTTTCATGAAAGCAAATAAAGACAGTTAAAACTTTTAATACACAGATGAATAGGTCAAATTATACAATTAAAATGAGTGAAGCTGTCAAACCAGTAGTGGCTAAAAGCCAAATTCGTATTCCTTTACTAACTTTAAATTGCTATTTGGAAGAGTCTGTCAGTGAAAATATGCCAAGTACAAGCCATACTCCACTCCCTACACGATGGTAAGGGTCACAGAAAGTAACTGATGAAAATATCCTGGGTAAATCATCAGCCCAGTATCTTTCCTTTTACTGCTAAAATAATTTGTTGATAATGTGGGGCTATGAAACATTCCCCATCAGGTTGTTTTTGCACGTCCACCAACTTAAGCAGCTGAGAATCTTCATCTCTGTTTTTTGAACAGCAATATCAAACATTTTTACTTTCCCAGCTTGTTGCATAAGAGTGTGTTAAAATCTACCTTTATGTTAAAATATATACCTTAGTTTAAACAACCAGACTGAGCAGTCAGCGTCCAAAATTTCTTCTAGTTCCTATATCAAAAAGGAGCCATTTTTACAACAAGCAAAAGCTATTTTTAAGAATTTATTTTTGTATTTTCAATAAAATGTAGCGTGTCAAAAGAAAAAAATATTATACTGAATTTATTACTGAAACTTTTAGGGGACAGAACTGTATGGAAGGTCAGCTGATCCTCAGTAACTCTTTCCTTTGTGCGCCAGCAATAGGTGGGATCTCCACCAATATGGTTTACAACTAGTAAATTACTGACATTTACTATGGAAGAGAGCAGAACAGGTACCATGGATCAGCTGATGTGTGACCAGCCAGCATCCCTCTTTTAACTCAACATATAACCATACACCTGGCTACTCAAGAATGCTTTGTAAGAAATATTATGGGGAGAACAGTCATTCCCACAGGATTTCCCCAGGTAACCAGCTGGCATGCAATATAAAAAGGGAGGGAAAGTGACAACATTAAAGAAAAAAAAACAACAAAGAAAACACTGATATCCAAAATGGGGTTGGACGACAGCAAGGCAGGATGCATCTAGTTGGCCACTGCAGTCTTCCACAATGGTTAAGTCGCAACTTTTCCATCTGTAGCCTCCTTCCCTCCTCTGTCCCTCAGTTCTCCACCTTCCCCTACTATCTGTTAAGAAGCTGCCACTTCCTCTTTTCATAATCCCTGCTATTCAGATGTTTTTAACCTCCCAAACAGATTATACATACATATATATACACGCGCGCGCGCACACAGAGAGAGAGAGAGCTAAAACCATTTGCTATTGTGACAGTGGTGTGAAAATGCAATTCTCATGTTACTGTATCTTTATATGAGTGTGAGATAGTGCTCGTGCTAAGCAAGGCCTAGCATAATTAACAACGCACTAAAACTCCCAGAATGCTTCAAGGAGGTTGAGAAGTCAGCGATTGACATTCTGGTTTTCACTATCTGACCCTTGAATAAGAATGCTGCCAGTATGATAAAAATTGCAAGCAAAGCAGTGGGTTTTTTTTTTAGAAAATACAAAAATGCAAGGCTAAACTGCAAGAACAAAAACAACCATATATCATACTGATAAAGTCTGGGGAATATTATAAGTAGACTATTAGAAATTAACATAAGAAGTGCAACCAATTATAATAAAGAGCGTGTAGAATATAGATGAGTTAACTAGTAACCAATAGAAGTAAGAATTAGAAATGCATATGTGTTATCATATATAAGTAATAGAAAAGTTATGTTAGATGCCTCACTCAGACAGAGTGGGGACAGTTTTGTATCTTTTGTCTAAAAAAAGATAAAGGACTCCTTTTAAATGAGCTGTTGACCAGTTCTGAGACTACTGAATCGGGCAGCCGCACCTAGCCTTCGGGTTAGAAAGCAAGGGCTTGATTTGGGAACCTCATGAACCAACAGACCTCCTTAGTTTATGACTTCGTGAAACAATAAAAGTTTTAAATTGAACATCCAGGTCTGAGCCTGTGCTTAATTCAGTCCTTATATAATTCAGCATGAACTCACACAATGAGGGTATACAACAATATTGGCAACATGACCATTCAAAAATATGCAAGCAAAAAACAAACTAAAAAGAAAGAGAAATGAAATGTAATGTTCAGGTGAGAAAATCATGATCTCATAAGAAGATTAACTGAATTACTAATGTATTCCATAAAATTTTCTTATTTAAAGGAACTAAGAAATGAAAGACTGCTGAAAGGGCATAATTTGTCTGTCATTTCATTTTTTTCGACATCTACCGTGGGAGGACAAGGCTCCTTATTTATGATTATTTACAAAAAAAAAAGTGACTCATTACATATTTTTCTGTAGTATGATGGTGATTATGTGCACCGCTAACATGCAAACTTCATCTGCCTGCTAACCAACCCCAATCAAGCAACTGGAACTGAATATGGGCACCACATGTAGGTAAATGTACACGTGAACAAATGAACATGATGATGTATTTAATATACACAACCTCTTAAATCTTCCTTTGTCTTCTATTTTAGAAGAAACCACTTCTCCAGCATTTTGGTAAGCGTACCACCAGAACCGTGAAAAGCATGTTAAACCCAGGGTATACACCTGGAGCTGAATGCTCTAGTAACACAAAGGGAGGACAGCTACGACAATTATAGGCAATAATTATAAATCACCTATATCGAAGACAGAAAACTGACTGGTGCTCTGCACATTCCAGTTAAAACAACCTCTCTCACGAGTGCAGGGTATTTCTCCAATGGGCTCAGAGATGTCTGAATTAAGACAACACGCCTTTCCAAGCCATATCATGGCTGTGGGGAGATAGTTGGTATTTTCTGAATGAGACTCAGCTTTCAAAAATTTGGAAAGAACTTCATTAAGAACAATAAATGTAACTAATGCAAGCTTCATTTGAAGTACGAATATTTTTTGTGAACCTATATGGCAGCTGATTAGAACTTCATGTCCAAAATAATGCTCTATTTCAAGAATGAATATATTACATATTGAGTAGTTTGGTAATGACATCAAGCAATATGATACATGTGTAGTTTCAACCCAGTTTACAACTTCCCTTTAGCATTGAAGAGACAAACTTTGACTGCATTTTAATTTACTACATTTTTTGCCTAGTGAAAGTTAGAAAATTGCCTCCCTGTGCACAATCCTTTTTTCAACCCAGTGAAAACAGCAAGCAAAGGCCTGGTACCTTTATTATCTTCTGTGACAAAAATACTATGCTAATCTGAAGTTATATGATGAAAAATGCTGCTATAGAATAAGAGCGTAAAGCTAACCATATAATGGGATACACTGCTGAGCAAAGACCAAAAGAAGCACTGGCACTGTGTATACAGAGATGCAGAGGTCTGGGGAAAATCCCACACAGACTGCCCATTTCAAAAGCTAGGAGTCCTTGGAAGAAAGGAGTAAGGTAACTAAGAATGAAATGAAGTCTGTTTAGAAATAGTGAGGGTCTCATGAAATTAGACTTTTCTCTGGAAGCATGGAAGACAAGGATTATCAATGGTTGGGTGTTTTATTTACTCTTAGTAAAGTAAAATTTGAATGGGTCTTAAAAAACATGGAGCGGGCGACACATTAAATGGGTGCAGTATTCAAAGAGTTTTGTATATGCCTCCAAATAGAGTAGTAACAATACAGAGAACTACCTCATATTGATAGACAGGTTTCCCAAGATGAAGCTTACAACGCTGAAAGAGTTGCTTAGAAAGAGTGACCTGGAAAAAGCAGCACTGAACAGGAAAGTATATCCAGCATGACACCTTCCCTAATCCTACAAGATTTCTTGTGAACTTTCTTATTTAACTATACTTTGAAAAACAAAACTTATTTTCTTGTGTATGAGGTATTATGGTGTCCATATTTTAGCACTTAAATTTAGTCAAAAGGATTAGGCAAATACAGCATTACCTAAATTCAATTTTGTGCGCGCTTCTGACAGCAAGGGTCTCTATTAAAATCACTGTGTAAAAGACAACTGATATACTGCAACTGATTTATCATTTGGGCGATCCTTACCTCCTCCGTGGACTGCGATTTTGGGAGACCTCTGAATCACTGTCCTTTGAGGTTGGAGAGACTTTATATGTATAAAAAACATCCTCAGTTTCTGTAATGTACGTAATCTCATTTGTAAGGTTATCTACAGATGAATGTCGTGGCTTACGAATCTCATGACGTAGCCTAGGACTCCGCCTTAAAGAAAACACGTGAACGTAAGTTGCTCGAAGCGGGAACCTACTGTACAGCTTTACCAAAGTAGACTAATACTATCTATCACATTCTATACCTTGAGATCTTAATTACAAGCTAGTTAAGTCTCTCTTAAAAACATATAAATTAAAACAAAGGTCAGTCTGTTTGTCTCTCTCTGAAAATTTTAGCCTGAGCATTAACCACATCCTATGCAAGGTACATCAGAGTAAACTGAACCCTGGAATTAGGAACTTTTCTTGACAAAGAAATTAGCTGATTGTGATTCCTCCCTGAAATGCTAAAAGAATCAATTTTCCTAAAAGATTACCACTTTTAAAATGAGATTTGTAAACAAACAAATAAATTATTTATTAAAAAACGCACATGATAGATAAAAGTATTTACTACCCTGTTTCATAAGTACACAATGAGACCCAGCACTAAGGAAAAGAGGAAGAAGGAAGACCAAAAGTTTGTTTACCAGTTGGGGGTAACAGGAGGAGACCGAGAAGGAAGGCTTTTGGTCTCTAGTTGTTCGACCGATAAAGATCTCCTCACTGATGGGTTCCAAACCATCCCACCTATGACTTTTCTGCAATACTGGTTGTTTACAGACCTGAAAAGAAATTTAAAAAATACTATTTTATATAAACTGTTTTACATAAAAAGCTAAAATAGAACTAGCCACATTTATGAAAGTGAATTTTAAAACTACAATTAAACCTTTGTAGTTCTAGCAATTGAAAAGACATGCTTCACAATACCTAACAGAAGAAAAGAAATACATTATTTTCATGCCAGCAGAGTATCCTTGATTCAATAATTCATATCCAAATTCCATTAAAAATTAATCTCTTCCTTTATTTTGAAAATCTGAATCCCAGTCTGGTTATCAGATTTAATAAACTGCACATTTTTAAAAATGACATTGTTTTATTCAAGCCAATAATTATCTTAAGCCACCCAAACACTTAATGGCCTCATTCTCATGTAAGTGAACAAAAGTTGCATGCATATATAGAAAACTGTCAAATTAGGGCAATGTGTCTTCACAGTTAAGAGCTTAATTTTAAATGTTTATTCAGATGTTATGCTATAACATTTACACAAACCAGTTAATATAACTATTGTGTCTAAAATTAAAGTGTTCCTATCCAAGTTAAAGCAAGATGGGCACAATCAGAATCAGTATTTGCTAATTTGTCAGAAGTGACTGTCCTCATAAATTATAGCTTAGCCTAATTTATTTATTTAACATTTGTTACCCAATCGTAAGCCACTCCTTTCTGCACAGTTCCACTGAGGCTGCTTATGTCAACAGCAACAGTGAGGGCAGCAGGAGACAGGCTGCTAATTTTCTTAAATTTCTCCATTAACTACTAAGATGATCTGTGTTTAGGAGTGAGTCATGAAAAAACTCCTACACATCTCATGGAAACTGTAGGAGGAGTGGAGGAGGTAACAGGAATTGAAAGTTACACAGATGTGAGGCCTGAGATCTGGACCAGTGCCAAAGATAAAGAACACTCACCTGAAGGACCACAAACAAGCAAGGTTCATCCCATCACAATGGATAAGGACACAACTGAAAGCTGCACTATTGGAAATCTTGGATTTCCAAAATCCCAACGACATTCCAAATGAAATATGTCTATTATTTAAACTAGATGTACTTTTTGTGCAATTAGATGCAAAGCGGTTTTAATTATCTGGTAATCCCATGCTCCAGACCTTTTGCTGATCACCTGTTGCTAGAAAGGATTTTTTTTTCTCCTCATGTATACTACTGTTTTTTGGAGTTTGTTTTTTTTAACCTGTTTCTGAAGCATTTGGATATTGGCCACAGCTAAGACTGGGGAAACACTAATCCTTCATATGGTCCTTAGAGAACTAGAACATAAGAAAGTAAGAACTGCCATTTACTGGGTCAGACCACAGGTCCATCTTGCCCAATTTCCCGTGTCACACAATGGCAGAATAGATGCTGAAAGGGAGAGTGAACAAGGTATTGAGTGGGGGTTTTTTCCACTGCTCTCCTCCTGTTTGCAGCCTTCAGCATTTAAGGTCCAGGAAGTTCTGATTCAGAGGCTGTATTTCTAATTCCCATGCTCAATAGCTACTGATGCAACCAAGAATTTGTCCAATCCCTTTTTGAATCTGGTTAAACTGTCAGCATTCATGACACCTTGTGACAATGAGTTCCACACTTTAATTACATGCTGTGTGAAAGAACTTCCTTTGGTCAATTTTAAACATACTAAATAGTAGTTTCATTTTATAACCCCTCCTTCTTCTTTGGCAATCCCTTGCAGTTGAGGATGATTGTCTTCCGCGATTATCTTATCAGTGGGTGTGAATTTATGACCCCTACATAATTCTTGTGTTGTGAGAGACAAGATAGCACATAATAAATCCCTACGTATTGTCTTTCTGTTCCCCACTCAAGCATCTCTTTTCTAAACTGAATAGGCCTTGCCTCTTTAGTCTCCCCTTATATGAAACCCCCTCCATACCACTAATCATTCTTGTTGTTTTTCTGTGCACCTCTTCTAGTTCTTCTATATCCTTTGAGGTGGGGGGCCAAAACTGGACACAATATTCAGGGTTTGGACACACCATGGATTTATAAAGTGGCAAAATGATACCTTCTGTTTTGTTGACAATTCCCTTCCTAATAATTCCTAACATTTCGTTTGCTTTTTTGACAGCTGCTGAGCATTGAGTTGATGTTTTTAGTAGGAGTGTTTTTAGTAGGAGTAACAGAGATTTTTTGGGCCAATACCAATGGCCAATTTTTAACAAGCCATATTGGCTGATGCCAATCCAATTGCTGATATGTAGCCGGGCAGCTTGGAGAGCAGCATCCAGCTGGTAAGTCTGTTGTAGGGGAAGGGGCAAGGTGGGAGGTAAGGGGCACAGGGGGTGCAGACTGAGGCCCCTGCGGTGAGGGAGGGAGTGGGGCTGGGACAGGGGCAACCACTGCCCAGCAGAGGCGGAGCAGGGCATAGGATGGAGCCACAGCTTCTCTGGGTGGTGCAGGGAGGGGTGGTGGCTCCTGCTGCTACGCATACCCTGGGAAGGCATGGGGGGGCGTTTGCCCCCAGATCTGTGTGTGGGGCAAGGGCAGGCTACCGCTGCAGGCTGGGACCAGGGCAGCGCTGAGCTCTTCCTGGTGGAAGGCTGGGCCGGGCTGTGCTCGGAGCGGGTGGTGGTGGAGTGGGGGCTGCAGCTACTCAAAAATTTGCCAAGGCCGCGCTCCCAGCGTCACTGCTGCCCACTCTGAGTGCAGCCCCAGCCCAACCCCACTGCTGGGAAAAGCCCAGTGCCACCCCCAGCCCCAGTCTGCAGCGGCAGCCCGCCCCTGCTCCGCGCACAGACCGAGGTGCACAGGCCCCCTGTGCCCTCCCATGGAGCATGCAGTTGCGGGAGTCACCACACACCCCCAATGAGTCAGTTGTGGCTTCTTCCTATGCCCCGCCCTGGCTGTACAGCACCTGCCTCTGCCCCTCCTCCAGCCCCAGCCACACCCCCTCCCTCACCACAGGGGCCTTGATCTGCCCACCCCATATCCCTTCCCCCACAACAGGCTTACCAGGAGAACCTGGCTGCTCTCCTGGCCACCTGTTCTGTGCTGCGTGCATGCACGGCACATTTACTGGCAACATTATCAGCCACATCAGCCAAAAAAAGACTATTTCCAATACTGTCAATTTTCCTTATACTGGTGTCAATCCGATATGGGGCCAATCAGTGCACCTCTAGTTTTTAGTGAACTGTCCACAATGACGCAAAAGTTTCTGGGTAAAGGAACTTGTTCTTCCACTGATGGTCATACCTGTCAAATCTGGGATCAGGAAGGAATTTGCACCCTACTTTAGGCTTGTAATGACTGTGGGAGTTTTTGCCTTACTCTGTAGCATGGGGTATGAACCTTTCCTGGGATCTTCTGTGCATTTGTTGGTAACCTACTTTCCTGTTGTTGCTGCAGTAGCAGGGCATTTGGAGAGTCCACCTCCCCTGCTTAAATGGGGTCTCATTTGTGATGTCTCAGGTATTGTACAACATGGTTGCATGCAAAGGTTTGAAACGGTGATTTCAGGGATTCTTGACAAATGTTGGGGACTTCACTTGATGGCCCATGAGGCTCAAGCCAGTCCTATGTTCCTCAGTTATGTGGCAAGATCTTTAAATTTCTGAAGAAATTCTCCTAAGCTGTGCACATTTTGGTGCTTCATACCACTTTATTTTCTAAAGTTTTATAGTTCTTTTCCATAGAATTCAGCAGGTCACATTGCCAAAAGGTACCTTCCTTCTCATTTTCCTTCCTTTGTGTTCTGTAACTAAAGCATGCAAAACAATCAGTTTAACAGGCTTGGGGCAATAAGAGGTGATATTTGAAGCATTTTTCTTTCCTGCTCTGACAGTTTATGCCAGGTAAGAACCTGTCCTTTTTTCCCTATGCTAGGCAGAACTTTTATGGAAGTGATTAGGTTGTGAAGTACTGTGCACTCAGCCAAAAAGCTTAAACATACACTCATCGTGGCATAGAAAACTATCCCATTTAGGCAATGAATACCTGGGTGTAAATAATGCTCTCATAATCTAATGAAGTACAATTTTATTTATTGTCCTTCATAAATTCTCCTCTCTAGGACTAATGGTAATACTTTAAGTATACATAGTGGGTGGATATTTCATTTATAATTTCAAACTTCAATGGGAAGTTGAGACAAAACAAATCCTACCTGGATGTGAAAAAATGGAATCAAATTCATATAGGATCCTTTGATTACCTAAAATTATTCCATCATCCTGGATGCAATTATGGTAAACCAGAAAGTGAGAGCACCCTCAATATCCAGGAGTTTGGGAACTTTCCCTAAATTTTTATTTTAAGAAAGACAGGAGAACTCAGATTTTTGTTTTAGAACTATGCTGAGCTCCTAGGACGGAACTAAAAGCCTTTAGAACTCTTCTCTTGGTTATAACACATTTTTGTAAAATTTGATTTGCCCACCTTACTATTGACACTGATGCCATGGGAACCCTAACTGTTCTGGCTTCAATCCCAGAATGACAAGAGATTCAGCAGCTAGCAATATGTTTTGGCAACTGTCTTTTCTTGGGCAGAAAACAGCAGATCTTTTACATACAACTAGAATAAGTTAATTAATAAAGCTGTTTTAAAACTGACAAAAATTCTAATTACTTAAGACAGATGGTAGATAACTCTTTCGATTTTTTCCACATACAATTTACTGACAAACTGGAGAGTCACATATGTTTACCACCTTTGACATGGAGAAGGAAGCCTGTTAACAGATATAGGAAGGCTGTTAGTCATTGTGCCTTATGGACATATACTGCTCACTATGCAAAACCATAGTTAATGCTACAGCTTTCTCCAGCTATAGGTTTTCTATCTAGTTTACTAGCCTTGGTTCCTCTGCAGTAACTGACAACAAAAGATGGGCATATACCATGTTAGATTTCAAAAATCAAAAAGGCCCAAACCTAAAAATTCCATTAAAATTTTTTTTTGAAAGTAAAAACAAAGTGTTACAGCAACTAGGGCAACAAGTTCTCATCACACACTAAATGTAACTGTGCAAGCTTGGAAGAGCTGAAAGCTATTTAAACATTCTAAAAGAATTTCTCTACTAGCTATGACACCTTAAAATGTACAACAGCAGCGTATTACAAATATGTAGTATTACGGCAGGTCTTTAATGGCTACAAACTTAAAAAACTTGAACTGTGACACGTTTACTGTACTACGTTTCTAAGTATATAAGTTCAAATTTCAAAAGAAAACTGCCATTTAAGGGATAAACCATCATTACAGAAAAAATGAATGCCCTCCCCACACTAAACAAGTTGTGCAGAGTTGCATGAATTTAACTTTCAATATTTAGAGCAGCAATTAGGAAGAGTGAAGATCTAATGATAGATTAAAAATGAATCTTTTCAATGTTCTTCATTGTAAATTATTATTGAGGAATAAGAATGTGGCTTTTCAAAGACAACATCTTTAATAACTTTCTCAATAATCTCAATACCCTTGCCCCGGTGGTCTCATGGAGATAATACTAACATGAGAGAGACTCAAAAGGTGATATTTGCTAATAGTTGCACCTAAACTGGGTATACTTCAATAAAAATCACATTCCATCCCAAAATGGAACCTCAAACAATCATAGCCTATAACTGAAATGGATCAGACCTTGAGGGAAGTATTCCCAAATTCCCCATTCTAGTTCCTTCAAGCAACCTACAGATGTGGCTCAACTCGTCATCGGAAGTAAACTCCTATTTGATCAACAGACTCCAAATGGGACACAACCCTGACTCAACAATGAAATATACAACCTGTCAACACATCTTTAGCACTACAACAGTAAATGTCCGCCACAATAAAAACCATCAGAATCTATGGATCCTGTGCATGCACATCTCATTCAGTGTATCAAATGCCCCTGTGGAAATGATGTGGGTGAAACCAGACAGGAACTATGCATCAGAATGAACTCTCACAGAAAAAAAAAAAATTAAAAAATGACAGACACACATACACCAATACCAGCATATTTTTCATATAGCCACCACTCCCTATCTGACCTCATAATCCTCCTGCTCAAGAGAAATTCACAAAAAAGCCTCCAGAAGATGGGCCTGGAAACAGAAATTCATAACTTCACCAGACAATTTAAGAAGTTGGTCTTAATATGGGTAGTGGCTTTATGGCTCATTACAACCATACAAATCCTACCAATTATCTCAGTGCACCTCACATGCAATAACTATTCCTTTCTTGAATGGTCTCACTCTCCCACCAACTACACTGCTTATTCTACCGCACGTCTGTCTTAGAATGGTTCTGTTTATACCTCTTCATTCCTACTTCACTGCCCTCCTCCAGCCCTTTAAGCAAACTGTGGGCACATCTACACATGATGCTATGTTGCCACAGCAACACGCTACAGCAACATGGCATCCACGGTCACAAACCATGATGCCGCAGCTCCATCGCCGTAGCAAAGCACTTCCTTGTTATAGGATGTTGCTATGGTGAAATAACAGCTAAAAATAACCGCGCAAGGTGCAGGGGCTGCTATACTTCCAAAAGGAAGTACTAAAATGATGGCGCAGTAACAAAGGCACCATAGGGACACATGTATATATGCCGTGTTTGTATTTGCAAGACAGCTTATGTCCAATTCCCCTTCAGACCTGAGGAAGGGCACCTAATGCCCAAAAACTTGTCCAACAGCTCCCCCAACTTTACAGCTGGTCCAATAAAAGGTATCACAAAAAGCCTCTCAGTAAAAGTCACTATGCACAACTTTTTTTTTCTGATAGCGTACATACATGTTAATTTTGAATAATTTACTCTAAAAATCAGGAGAGGTGTAAAATAAAAGCATGAATCCAGTTTTTCATTCTGCTTCTCCAGTTTATTCATGCAGAATTGGGATTTCCCTATTATGCATACTAACCAAACATTTAAAACAACTAGCTTTGCAAAAATTTCTTACCCAAGGGCCACAGACTTAACTGTGGTTTGCATTGCTCTGTTTTTTGTTCCTGAGAATTTGAAAACACAGCTATATCTTATACTTAACTGAGAATACTAATCCTCTTTATAATCGCATCCATGTATTAGAGTAAATCCTCATCTATTTTAAATACATGATATTTTCAATTAATCTTTGAAATCTGTGCCTAGTTTTCTTTGTGGAATGTGTGACAGCCTTCAGATTTAACCTGAGATTTTGAAGCAAACATGCAATATTAGTGTACAGTCTAAATAAAATAATGTTTTTTTCCCCTGTGTTCCACTGCTGTAAGAGAGAGCACAGACTCCACTTCAGAGTCGAACTGCCAAGGGGGCTTTTCAAAAAAGGGGAGAAGAATCCATAAGACTGGGGGTACAACATCAACCTGCAATTGTGCAACTGTATGCAACAGACTCTCTGATCTTTTTGTCTGTTAGTGCATTCCATGCACCCCCAAAAAAGAAAGTTTCCAAAAGGTATCAAAGAAAAAGGACAAGGAAGAAGATCAATAGTGGGTTTGTGCCTCACCAACAAATGAATGGCTGGCGAAATGATGTTACAGGTAAGAGCCATAGAAAACGGTTTTTGTTTTTTAAGTACATAGTAGGCAATTTCAAGCCCTTTGAAAATAGGAGATGGTTCCATTGTCTTTCTGACTTATGTTTGTTTCCTGTTTGTTGCAGAAATACAAGCACTCAAAAATGAAGAATACTAAGGGGAATCCTGAGGGTGTAGAGGGCATCATCATCTGTCTTCTCAATCAAGAGACTGAGTCCTTCAAAATAAGTCCTTTAAAATATATTCTAAAACTCTAGAGAGATTCTTGAGAGACTCCTAAACTCCACAGCCAAGAAGAGCAGTTCTCAATGTTTCTGTGACAGTTACATATTATAGCTTGTAAATTTGTTTCTCCCAATCAAATAAGTTCAAATAAGCCCTTTTCAGCAGAGGGTTCCTTTTTAATCAATTGCCTGCTTTATTATCATCATCATTATTATTATTTTAGATTTGCTGCTGCTATTACTCAGTACTGGATGATAACACTGAAAGTCCATTCTCTTGGAAGATGCTCAGTTCTTTGTCAGCATTCTCCGAGGTTGGGCAACTAACACAGGCATCTGCCAAATTTCTGTATTAAATACTTGAAGGGCTTTGCTTATGGAGAACGCCAATGTTCCTGGCCTAGAGTAATCTCTTTCACCTTCTGAAGTGGAATTTGGAGCAGTTTAGCTACCTCATTTGTTTCTAGAAGTTCTCCTATACCTATGTACAACACTTAGGCCCCTGCTACACATTACAATTATTACACAATTAGCTAGTTAATCGCAAAATAAATTTAGACTGGCCACATGTGCAAAGTAATAATCACACCATAAAAATGACTTTCCAACTATAAAAAGAGCCAATCTGCTCAAAGTTAGTGCTTGAAAATGGGCAATAACTCTATAAGCTGGTTTCTATCCAGCTTTAATATGTATATGATGTGAATATGAATTTTTACATTCCAAGTAAAAAGTGCACTCTGGCACTGATACTTACTTTGTTAGGTTTCTAGAACCCAAGGTCCAGTAATGAGAAAATATCTTGTTTTCATGAGGTAGTGACTTTGCCTGAAAAAAGGTGTGATGCTCTACACAAGATTTCCACAGATTTTTGCATGCTCTGTAATTTAACATGTTGAAGGCAACAATATGCTCTCTGGTTTCATTCTGTAACAACAGGAAACATTATGCATGAATGAAGGTTAACCATAGTAAGTACAATATTAGAATTCATCTAAAACTTTAAAGGTGATTTACAGCTAATAGCAATTTATAGCAGATGACTAGAGTCCACAGTAACTGCAAAGAATCAATAGAATAACAAAAAAAAGACAGATCCCCTAGGACTAACTTTTAAGTAATAAAAATCCACATTGACAGAGAATAAATTTGAAATGACAGAAATGTTTTACAGTCACTTCTCTAAACACTTAAAGTGAAATGTCATTGATAGTCATGGAATCTGTGTAAGCCATGTGCCCAGAGAGCTGAAGTTGTTAAGTGAAACTATCTCTGTATAAGACTCAGTGTAATAACCTGCTTCAAAGTTAGGAACATCACCTTTTTTAAAGTGTTTTGGTACTAAAAATTGTAATAATAACTGTCCATTTTCAGGAAAAGAGAATTAGCCAGTCCAACTGCACCACAGATACCACCTTCTTGAAGACAATACAACAAGTAGAATGAAAATAGCAAACAAGCCTAAAAAAAAAAGAGGCAGATTCTCTCTCTTACTTGCAGCCTTCTTGTGGAAGAAATAGAGGCACACCATATGGCCCCATCAGCTATGCTGAGATGTGACAAAGAGTCAGACTACTTTAAGGTCTTCTTTCCCAGTAGCTCTCAAGCCAAAGTGAAAACAGTCTTACAAAGGATGTAGTTTTGCCTGGCTAAACCTGAGACTTATTAACGAGAGGGCATATTCCCAAAGAGATACAAGAAAGAAACGTTATAAGGAGGAAAGGAAAAAGTACATGAGGATGAAAGCAGTGACTCAAATCTCTCATTCTAGGTGCTGTGTAGAATTTAGATGAAGCTAGAAGTACTAGTGTTTCTTTTTATTGCCCAACCCTATAAAGACATTTTTCAGGATCAGACCAGTAAACAGCCTAATAGTGTCAAAGATGGGGATGGAAACCATGATGGTGAGTTTATGCTTACCAATTCACTCATCCCACCGGATATCATGATTCTTTCCCAAAATCATAAGAACATAAGATATGCCAAAATAGGTCAGGTCTATCTAGCCCAGTATCCCATATCTCATAGTAGCAGAGTAAGGGGCCTTTTTTTTTCTTTTCTTTTTTTAGGTGCTTCATTCATTTTGTCCACCAACAGGTCTAATTTCCAGCACCAATTCTGGTCTGCCGATTTCAGTTTTCTGAAATCTGTTTCCTACTCACAATCATAACAGTCCATACATGGTACCAGCAAACTACGTTTTGAGTCTATTCCATTCTTTCTGTTGCCTTTTGTAGACTTGCCTATCAGCATTTATTGGTACAGGTGACTGTGAGACAGACTTTCAGACACCTCCAACCATTCAGCCAACAACTGGGTTAGAGACTGCTAGATCCCAATTATTACAGTATTGTTTACCTGTTAAAATACACATAGAGACTCAACATTACAGAGATATTATTTATCTGTGATACACTCCAAATCCTCAAACCACTTAAAAGCTGATTGCTTTACTCACATTAATCATATGCATGTAAATCACTGAGGAAGGTGAACAGGATTTGGCCCTTATATTGTACGTGGACACTACAACAGGCTTATTTGTTTTATGGTCAAACTTAATATATGCTTCTGTATGTATCTATTTTAAAATATTTGACCATGACCTATTTATACACTAGTAAAATGTATTACACTGAGTTTAAACTTTCATCCAGGATATAAGTTACTCAGCCACAGCTATTTCTCTTAGAGAGATCACGTTGAAAGTAAACATTTTTTGTGATAATTTAGCTGGTAAGCATTTCTTCCCTTACATAAAAAGAGCATACAATGAGTAAAATGTTAATGGTGATTTATATATCTTAACTAGCCCCTGCTGCCTCTTGCATTGTTCAAAAATGGCTTAAGTTATTATACTATTTCTGTGGAAAAACAGTGGAGAAGGGAAAAACAAACATCCAAATAATTTTGTTCAGCAAGAATAATCTTTTAAGTTACCATAAAATTGTTTGCTTGAACCTTTCAATTTAGTTCTGTACTTAATGTTCACAGTTCTAAGGCAAGGGATAAAATTTACCCTACTTGAAGTCTTGATTGGACAAGATAAATTCCAGTTTGCCAAGCTGCACGTGCATTCACTACCACTGAAACTTTTTCAAACGATCTCCCTCAGTGGGATGAAAACACAAATAACTGCTCTCATCCTGAGAGGTGAACTGTTTTTAAACATCTCACACCCATCTAGTCAGCTTTTTTATATTATTTATTTACTAATATAAAAAAGTTGAATGAAAAACACTTTCTGCTGACCAAGAAACTAAGACCCAAATCTTATTTCACATCTAAGACAACTGAGTGTGATCCTATTCCACCTTATTCAAGTCTGAGGAACTATTAACATGTCATTTTTTGTAACATTTTCATCTTAGCCATAAGAGTTCTGCATTAACATTTTTTAGGGACTCTAGTATGATGGAACATGATCATAATTGGTCCAGTAGCATTGCTGTTCTTGGTTTCCTTGATGACATGCCAGACTTCCTCTAGGACAGGAGAATTGGCAAGGGATCCTCTTTCAAAGGTGCTGGGGGATGGACTCGATGGTAGTATCTGCCAGGGTTGACTCACAAATTCAGGAGTGCCTCAACATGCTCGTTCCATCTCACTTGGAGAGATTCATGGTCTTTGAGGAACGTTGAGCCATCCTACAATTGTAAGAAAGTAGGACTGTGGGAAGTTGGGCCATAGATGGCTTTTGTTGCCTGGAGAAAGGCATGTCATTTTTGTCAGCAAAGAGTTGACTCTTTTTGGCTTGATCTTGTCACCACTCTCACTGCACCAGTTTTTGTGAAAACAGGTAATATAGCCACTGGACTCAGAACAAGCCATATGGACGGTGGTTTTAAACCCCTTCCAGAGTTCCTCAATGATGCCTTCATTTGTGTACAGGGCAGAGAATTTTCCAAGGAGACAATGATGGAAATCCTTACAAAACTCCAGATCTCAAAGAGTTTTGGTGTTAAGAATCTTTCGTATTGCTTTTGATTGTTTTCACAGTATTTCCGAGTGAATCAGATGTTCATAATGGATCTGATATGGTGATGTATCCACCGGTCACTGGTTCCTTGCATGTCTCATGTGATCCAGATATCCATTCAATCACGGGCTCTAATAATAACATAGTTGAGGAGGTGCCAGTACTTAGAGTGAGGGTGTCTCCGTGTGTTCTTATATTTGTCACACTGTCTGAAGATAGTGTCAGTGATAAGACCACGCGCCGTGCATTTGCTCAGAAGAAGGGTGTTGTTGCAGTTGGCTTTCCCTATTCCATCCTTACCAGTGGGGCCACTCCAAAGCTCTAAGTCACATCCGACTCTAGAGCTAAAATCACCAAGGAGAATGCTATTGTCTTCCTTGGGAACATTAGACAGACTGTTGGTCAAGGTTGTTCTGTTCTTTGACATCATCGTAGGGGAATACGCACTGATGTTGGTGGCATACTGGTTGCTGCTGAGCTTAAGATGAAGGGTCATAAGATGTTCATCAATGCTTGCAGGGGGTTCTGCAAGTTGACTGACAAGCTGTTTCTTGATGGTGAAGCAAATGCTATGAACACATCTATCGTGGTCCAGTTTCCCCTTCCAGAACGCAGTGTAGCCTTCACCCTCTTCCCTTAGTTGACCATCATCCAGTCGTCTGATCTCACTCACAATATGGACTTTGCAGCTCTCTCTCACTAGTTCTCTGGAGATGATTGCAGTTCCTCTTTCTGGTTGTTCATCATCTTAGTTATCCATCAAAATCTGAATCTTCCATGTTCTGAAAAGCGTTGCCATCTTATGCTTTCAAATGCAGAGAGAGTGATCCCACTGGATGCAGCTATCCAGGCATGAGCAGATAAGACAGCCTAGGTTTACAACACCTTTTCTAGCCCCTTCTCCATGTAAGATGAGCAGAGAGGATCCTGAATAGGACTGCTCAGTCACGGCAGCAGTTACAGAATTGCACCCATGCCTCAACCCAGGTGCAAGACAGCCAGCCATCAGGCTACAATAGGCTGTGTGCTGATTTGTGGCTGGAGACTGCCAGACTCACTCATCTCGTCTGTCACCACTGGACCACTGCTGCAGGGCTTTTGCAAGTTGGTATAGGAAAGCATGTTATTTCCTGTGGTAGAAGCCTAGACATGACTTGGATTAACGTGAGGAAGCTGGTGCATGGAAACAACCACATGAACTTGACAAGGTGGAGATCCAAGCCCAGTGGCAAGCAATAACTCTAGAAGACAGGAGAACTACACCTTCCTGCAGCCTCCTTCTGTCTTTACAGCCATTGACATCCTGACATCATCTTCTACCTGATCGGCTGTTGAGCACTTGGGGTTAGATTGTAGTTTGTCTGAAACCTCCCCTCAAGCCTGTTCACCATGGGTGACCTTAATAAGAGCATAAAACTCCAGGTGACAGCTCTAAGGTCACACGAAGAAGCCTTTTCCTGGTCTCAAACCAACCAGAACCAAGTGAAATTGAAAATATCAGTCTGAATGTGGTTTCCTACACTGAAACAACAGATTCTTTATGGTGACACATCCCTTTCATCAAGTCACAGCATGGTTGGACTGCAATGAGAACTTCTAGGGGGCAAGATTAATTACCCCATGTAGGCAGAGAGGAATATATATGACAAGGAAGGATATACATGGACATTTAACAGTGCATCTGGCCTATTCTTTTCATGCATGATGAGAAATACTGAAAGGTTATGCAGCTGGCCCTATTTTCCCTAAGGGTCTAGAGCGTGGTGCTGTTTGCATGGCTATGATTTTATCCTGTTACTTTCAAACATGGGAAGATGACAACTTAAGCAATGGGGAAAGTTATAAATCAGTGCTTTCAAATTCTGTCATTTTTCCATACGATAAAAAGCTTCTCAAAAGCCTGAACTTTGAGAACACTGCCCTTTTCAGAGTTGATACAGCTCTCTAGAATTTGTAATTTAACTGTTTTTGACAGTAGTGAAGAAGTCATCATGCTTATCTGTTTAAACTGATCTGTACTTCTACAGCTTGGTAGGTAATGAAATTTGCATCCCCTCAAGTTCCAATAAATTGTTCAGAGGGAACACATACTTTTCCTTTATTTTTTTCAGTTTGTCAACATTTACCCCAGACAGGTTTTTTGTTTGAATACCCATTTTGGAAACTGCTTTCAGAGAAATGCCAATACTTGCACTGAAACAGGGACATTCAAATATGAACAAGAATATTTGCTATTCATTATTTGATATTTCATTCAGCCAAGCAGGCAACGTAAACAATATTTCATGACTGAAGTGACTAATTTGTGAGGTGGGATCGGTCCAAATGAGTAAATGAACAGCTGATCAATCATCTAGAGGGTGAAATTAATCTGCATAAATTGACAAATATTTGCAAATAATTAAGAGTAGAAATTGGAACTACAAACTCTTGGATGCCAATTGTCAGTAGATTTTGGCTTTCCTGTCTACTTTTCCATAAAATATAACAGCTTTATTTCTGAGAGACCTGCCCACACCCTGAAACAACCACAACCATAACCACGTTTAGATTTTGCTTGGCAGGTGGATACCAAAATATCCAAAACTTCCCTAATAGGATCTTTGAAAACACAGAGCACACATGTACACACAGCTCACAGACCCTGACATCTACACAAGATCACTACCCACCACCCTGTTCAAAAACATGAGGAAGAAAACCTCAAGAGTAAAAAGCTCCATGACTTACACTTCCTGTGGGGCTGTTGCTTTGCAGGTCCTAACTGGGGTCCAGAAGTTCTTCTATGTCCTGACTAAGAGCTACCCAACTATTATTACCCACTAGCTAACTGGGGCACTATTCAATCTTACTAAAACACAATGGAATCATCAGATTTCCTATAAAGCCATTAGACAATGCTGCATTAAATCACTAGGTGGTTTGTTTGCAGGGGAAACAGATAGACATTTCTGCCTTCAATTATCTCAACTAGTTCCATCTGCAGTACCTTCCTCATTTGCCAACTTAGAGGATATTGTATAAATATTACCATATACTGCAGGAGGGACTCATTATTCCCTCTACCCTTCTCTTTAAGTCACAATTTTTACTTCTCCCCAGGTGCATCCCCTGTGCCTCAAAGAGAAGTTCTTTGGGACAGCCCCTCTAGAGAGGCTCAGCAGCTGTCAAGTGGCTTAGCTGCACTGAAATATTCTATAGGCAGCTGGCCAGCAAGCAAAATGGCAGAGAAAAGGGCAGAGTCCTCTAGCATGCTGAAGGGGGAAAAAACAAAAGCTGATCAACACTCAGAACAGAAAGAACTACTCCTCTGCCTCCCTCCTCCCCAAACCTTTAAGGAGGAAGGTGTTGTGGATAGAAAGAATGAATATAGGTGGAGTGGAGTTAAGAGTTAAGAAATAGAGGACTCCAGCAGAAAGGAGAAAGATGAGTACCAGAGACAGCAAAAGAAAAGATATGGGGAAACTCCTTAAGCTTGGTCAACTAGAACAAAACATTAAAGAGTAAGGACATCTACAAAGCCAGCTTCCCCTTCCCCATTAAACTTTAGGGACAAAATTGATTTACTGGTTCCTCTGACTACGTCACAAGAATTTAGGAAAGAATCTGATAAACATAACAGGAAAAGAAAGCTGAGCAATTACTTACATGTTTTTGTCGTTGCTGTATAAAAAACTTTTTCCTTTTAAAGGAAACTTTTAATATGTTTGCCCTAAAAAACAAAAACAAAATCACACTAAGTAACAATCCACAAAGGCTGAGGAAAAAAAATTAGCCCAAGTAAAACCTAACAGATGCACTTGCAATGTCAGTCTTAAAAGATCTTTAGTTCTATTACAGCATTAAACATTTATAATAAAAAAAATGAAGCTGCCTCTTCAGCGCAGTGTAACAGCTAACTGACCTATCAAAACAACAAGGACCAGAAGTTTTGGCCAAAGAAGAGGAGGATCTCTTAACATTTTTATTTCTCATTAGTTACTATCTAAATATTAACATAAGCAGGAAGCCCACTGTTATCATTTTCACCTAATAAACCAGTATATTGTACTTGCAAAGACTCAGTGAAACTGTTCACTGCCTCCACACACAGGATAATTACCTTGGGCACTGAGATTGTATAAACCAGGCTTGTCAAACCAGGGTGGTTGGGCTAGTCTAAGGGCTAGATTGGGACTGACCCGCTGAGCAGTGCTGGGGTACTAGGGCCAGCCCACATGCTGCATGTGCCAGCCTGTGGCTTGTTGTGCACACAAGCTGGACCCAGAATTACATGTAGCATAGGGGGTCAATCCAGAGTGCAACATGCAGCCCACAACCTGGGCCCTCTGTGCCATGTGCAGTACTGGGTCCAGCTCACGCACTGTGGGTATAGAGAGCCCCTGGACTGGTGCATAATGCACTTGGTGCATGGGACTGGACTGGCTGCACACACTGCATGCAGCACAGGGGGCTGGGACAGGATGGGCACTGCATGTAGTGTCCAGCTTGTGAGTTGTGTTTGATACCTCAGGTATAAAGTAATGATCTACAGTGAGTGGGAGCACAAAAACAGAATTCAGACCTTGATAACAGGATAAAAAGGGAACTTAGGGGCCCCCTGGCCCCCCATGAACTGGAGAGTGGGGCCCACCTTCCGCAAGGTAGAATCTGGGTTCCTTGCCCTCTAGCCACCTTCTTCAAACCCTCCAGGTTTATCTGTTGTCCATGTCACAACAGGAACCAACAGTGGATTAACCAGATGTCCACGTGGGACTTAAAAAAATTTCAGCTAGGACAATGGATGAACCACACAACACCACTTAGCTTGCCTGGCACATCACCTGACATGCTTGCCTTGCATCATGCTCTCCTGCTGAGTCACTGCCACCTTCTCAGGACCCAACTGCCTTCTGCCAGCCCCTTTGTGGCTCCTAACCTAATGGCCAAGCCACCAGCTACTTCTGCTGCCCCTTGACACCATGCACCCAATGCCAACTGTCCACCAGCCCCACCCTCCCTCACGCTGAGCTGGGGAAGCCACTAGTGACCTGTCCTGTATAATGCCATTACCAAGTACTCCAGAGTTGATTTTGACCACTTGCAAACAAGGTGGATAAGATCTCTTTGGGAGCTGGTTCTAGCTAACAGGCTACTGAATCCTGCTCTAGAATGGCTTTTAAAAAAATTGTTTTATGTAATGCCAACCAGTCATGAATCCAGGTGCGATACAAACTGTTTTGTCACTGCTGCTGTAGCTTTCCTATGAGCCTTGTAGACTCAATGTCTTCATTTTTCTTTTATTTGACCCTTTCCTCCCTCCAAGAATGGCTGCCTTCTCTTTCCAAGCCAACACTTCTGTAGAAAGTACCAGAAGCATAGAACATTGTTGAACTGATTCATATTTAACTAATCTCCACCATTTTCATTTGCTGTCACACTCTTAATAAAGTGAATGTTAGCAGAGAACATAACAACTCATGAAAAATCTTTATGTCTCCAATGTCCCATCAAAGGACTTAAATTTCATGAGTTCCCAAACAGACTACATCCAAAACAAGATCCAAATAAAATGCAGAATTTGGCAAAATATTTTTTGTTTTTGCTAGTGACGATATGGACTATAGCTAAATTTCAGAGGAAGTCTGTAGGTTTTATGGTTAGAAAGTAAATTTTTTTATCTGCAAAATAAGCTACTCTAATTTGAATATTATTGGAAAGCAAACAGCATTTTTAGCATGATTTTTCCGATGTGGATAAAACCCGGTAAGGCATCCAAAGGGAGTTACATTTTTAGGAACACATAATAGTACAACTCGCATGCAGTCTTGTGCGATCTGCCAGCTTTTTTCTCATGCAGGTTACACTGGTCATTTTATTTTTTGCCAAAAGAGTAATAGCACTGCCTCCCTTCCTGAAAGTTTTATTCCCTTTGGCTGCTTCCATACAGTACGGCACACTCTAATATTGCAGACTATTATCCCAGGGTTTTTGTTGAGCACTTTCATAGGGTTTGCTGCCACCTTGAGTTCTAAGCTGTTTCTGCCAATCCTGGTCAACTTAAACCACATGAAATTATATTCGATACAATGATATTTTACAGAGCAATAATCTAAGCAACCTATTATTTTAACTTTCCTTTGGGGGCATTTAACGTTACATAAAGTTACATTATTCCACCTGAGTACATCCAAAACCAACCAGTTGGAACATGTGAACCATTTTAATCTCTCATAAAACTTTGTAAGTCTAAGGTGAAAGACGCTGAGGATGTGACTGAAATGTATCCTGTTTTATATCCCTTTATGTCAAAATGCATTGAATTCATACTATATAATGTATATATAGTATAGAATAGCATGCTATTTTTTCACAATGAACTGGGGTGCATACTATTAGTTCTTAATGAATGATTCTAGATCATCAGAAACAAGAAACACTAAAGCCTCTCACTCATACTATATTGAGTTTATGGAGGCTTCTTTGTTTTGTTTTCTGTTTGTTAACTGAGATGCTCTTTTAAAGAATTTTAGGATAATCTAGACTAATTTTATAAGCTTTTTTGACGCATGCTATCGCAATCACCGTGAATTTAAAATATTAACTGGGGGTATCAGGGAGGTTCTAGATCGAGGTGGGTAGTTATTTGGACCCAGGGACCACATAGGGAGTTTTGATGAGTTGTTGCGGGAGGGATCACCCCCCTCCCCCAGCCTCCTCCACAACAACTCATCAATGTGCTAGGGCAGAAGCAGCCTAGCTGAAGCTCCCAGCTGCCTTCCACCCACTCAGGCACCTGCACTGGACAGGCAGAGTGGGCGAAAGGCAGTCAGGAGCTGGAGCCAGATCTCTGCACACTAGGGCAGGAGGCGCCTAGATGAAGCTTCCTCCTGAACCATAGCAGGAACTGCCTCTGGAGGCGATGGGAGCCAAGCAGCAGCCACACTGGATGCAGTCCTGCTGGTAACCTGTGTGCAATAGCTGGGGCCATGCCAGTGGGTGCAGGCTGCTCCAGGAGTCACTTATTTCTATGTGGAGCACTGTGGGACCAGCTGCGGACCAGATCCAAGCCACTGGCAGGCACCCCATCATTGGACAGATTTAATCATTTGGTAGGCTGTATACGGCCTATGGTCCCTCTTTTGCCCACCCCAGTTCTAGAAGTCCAATCCATGCTCTGCAAGTTTCAACAGATATGACAAGTGGTGCCTGGTGGGAGAAGGGACAACTGTTGGCCAGGATGTTGTGCGCTTTCTTTCTTCCTCTGCTCTTTCTCGGCTTCCTGAGCAAGACAGTTCTCTTTGACATGGACTGTATCTTGATGTATGGTGCAGTGCCACTGAAACCTGTTACCAGCCAGCACTTCCCAATTTGTTGGGTTGATGCCACCCTTCTTAAGATATGCTTGCAGGGTGTCCTTGTAGCACTTCTTCTGTCGTCTGTGAGTCCTCTTACCATGCCTAAGTTGAGAGAAGAGGACTTGCTTCAGGAGATGAGCGTCAGCCATCCACACACAGTGCCCAGTCCAGCGGAGTTCATGTTTCATGATCTTTGCCTCAATGCTGGTTAGCTGCACACAGGATGCTGGCATTGGTGCAGTGGTCTTCCCATCTAATATGGAGGATCTTCCTGAGGCAACATTGATGGAATGATTCCAGGCGCTTAAGATGGCTTTGTTAACCATGTCTCATATGCATAGAGGAGGATGGGGATAACCCCTGCTTTGTAGACCAGGATCTTAGTTTCCATCTGCAGATCTCGGTCAGCAAAGCAAAGCAGTTTTCTGAAGCATATGCTGGCACAGCGAATCCTATGTTTGATTTCTACATCAAGACTGACTGATAGGGGAGGTGACTGTCAAGGTATGAGAAATGCTTGATGTTTTCCAGGGGTTCTCCACCAATGGTAATTTGTGGGGGGAGGGGGCAGCTTGTGCTGAGGCAAGCTGATGGAGCACCTTGGTCTTCCCACTGTTAAGGGAGAGTCACAGGCTGTGATAGGCACCTGAGAAAAGTGGACTGCAGATCAGTCTCAGTGTGCACAAGGATAACAGTCATCAATGCACTGAAGGTCAGTGATGCCAGTCTTGGTAACTTTCATTTTGCTGTGAAGGCGCCACATGTTGAAAAACTGACCATCTATTTGATACTCAACCCCATTTCTAGGAGGAAGGCGGTCATGGATGAAAATCAAAATCACAGCAAGATAGATGGAAAAAATGGCTGGGGCAATGATGCAGCCCTGCTTGATACCAATACAGATAGTAAATGGGTCTGTCTCTGATCCACTGCAAAGAACTGTGGCAGTCCATCCCATCATGGAGTAGCCTGAAGACACTGATGAACTTCAGTGGACAACCAAACCTAGCCAGCACCTTCTGTAAGGCTTCATGATTGATGGAGTCAAATCAAAGGGCTTGGTTAGGTCATATGAATGCCATAAACAGCTCCTGGTGTTGCGTTGTGCAACAAAAAAATCACATTGGTTGTACCCCGAGATGGTCTACAGCCACAGTGGGATTCTGGAAAGACATCTTCAGCAAGGGGAAGGAGGCAATTCAGAAGGATGCAAATAAGAATCTCCCCGGTAGCAGACACAAAGGCAATGCCTCGGTAGTTCCTACACACTGACTTGTCCCCTTTCTTGAAGATGGTCACAATGTTGGCACTCTATGTCAGGTAGAACTTCCTCATTAACCCATATTTTGATGAGAAGTTGGTGAAATTTCTGCTCTTCCACCAGCTTTAAAGACCTCTGTGGGGATGCCATCTGGGCCTGGCACCATGCCAGACTTCCTTAAAGGATTGGGGATCAGCAAGACGTTCTATTATTGGATACTTGATGGTGGCAGCTGAGACCTCAGATTCACAGTTGACTAGAGACTTGAAGTGCTGCTTCCAGTGTTGCTTGATGGATACATTGTCCATGAGAAGGGTGGAGCCATCCTGGGATCACAAAGAAGTTGGGCCAGTGGAATGTGGCCCATGGATGGCTTTTCTTACTTGAAAGAAGCTTCTCATGTCATGCTGGTCAGTGAAACTCTGGATCTCCATGGCCTTCACTTGCCATCACTGGTTCTTGATATCCCATAGCCTCTTCTGAACTACAGCACCGAGCCAGTGGTAAGCCTCTCATTTTTGCTGGTTAGAGGGTTCACTGTGCCAATAGCAGAATGTGGCTCTCTTCTGATGGATAAGTGCTAGGATTTCCTCATTGTTCTCAGCAAACCAATCTTGGTGACAGTAAGTGGAGTATCCAATTGACTTTGTCTCAGCACATGCCTTGTGAATAACGTTCTTAAGCTCCTCCCAGTGGGCTTGGATTTCCTTGATGTCATCAGATACGTCAGAGAGACTCTAAGTAAGGCATTGTCGAAGAGCCTCACGTATAGCTTGGTCTGGGAGTGCCTTGGTGTTAATTCTCTTCCACATTCCTTTAGGTTGTTTACGGCATTGTGGTAAAAGCTGCATGTCTATAATTGATCTGACTACAATGTGCACAATTAACAAAAGTGCTATCAAATGCTAGACATCCCTCCTTTTCAACTGCATAGAGCTTCTGTTTCTAACCTTGTCAAATTATGTGAGATTGGATTTCAAACCTTCCCTGGTACAGGACTAAAAAATATTGCTCACTCAGATCTCTAGCCACTACATTTGTAAAAGGGAGAATGCTTAAGGTAAAAAGAAAATACCCGTCTGATATTTTTAAAAACACTAGATGCCTAAAGATGCTTAGAGATTCAGATTGCTAGAAGTAATTGAAGCAAGAGATGGAGAAGAAGGTAAAATTCAGGAGCAGCATGATAAAAAACAAGCTATGTATTTTACCATATATTAAAAATACAAAGACACAAATGTAATGTCATTGTGTGGTATGTGTTTATTATTTTAAGATGACTGCATTGCTCCCAAGTTATATGGGTCATAATATTAAAAATTAATTTTACAGTATGGAGAAAAAGGAGAGAAATCAAGGGACTAAGTCAGAAAAGTTAATTTAAAATTCTCCATCCTTAGCAGAAGTGTTACTTAAAATGATAAAAGAACACTTGTAAAACTTGATTAATAAAAAGAATTAGAAATAGGTAAACATTTACCAGGGATAGAAACTTGTACAAATACATTTTCTGTATACAGCAATGCCACCTGAAGCAATTCCAATCATCAGGTCGAGATTATGTAGATCCTGAAGAAAAAAAAAAAAACTACTGTAAGAATACAGAAGCAGGTTGTGACATTTTCATTTTTTTCTACTTATGCATTCATTTATAGGTTTCCCATAATCATGGTAGAGCAAGCATAAAATATAACCTTTAAGCTATAAAACTGAAAGAGTAAGGTTTCTGCACTATTTATTCTAATGGATATTTCTAACTCAATCTTACCTACAATGTATTATAAAAGTCTTGCCATTAAGAGAAATCACACTGATAATGCCACCTCATAAACCAGTGCTCAGTATTCTTTGGGTCAGTAGGAAAAAACAGAATTCCTCTTCCTTTTTTCTCCTACTTTAAATGGAAACAAGAATGTATAGTACTTGCTCCCATTAAGGGCTCATGAGCCATGACATACCCACCCAGCTTCCTGATGCTGAAATGTTTTTGGGAAGACACAGCAAGTTATGCCTCTCTTCAGTACCAGAAGAGACCTACCAAGCAGCACCTAACAAGACTCAGCTAAATGAAAGATGACCTCAGTTCTGACCTAAAAGAGATTCAGGGGTCATGCACATGCTCACATGCATGATTGGACAATCCCATTCTGTTTTGGAATGGCCTTGCACCATGGAGGGGAACAAAGAAGTCCTAGAGTCTTAGTCAAGGGAAAGGAATTCCCAAACTAAGAACATACAGTTGTAATAAGCACTTCCTTTAGGCACCCCTGATGCTATTAATTTAATAGCGGTAAAACTGTTGCTAAACTATATGAATTCCTAAATGACAGTACTCAAGGATGTGATTTCAACAAAACCACGCTTGTGTCAAATGTATAGAAAGGGACTGGTTGGACTGACACATCATAGTGAATCTTCTGTTCTATTTCATGCAGAACTGACATATGCAATTGGACATAAGAGTGGGATCACAAACCAGCTTTAATACTGCATAACATTCAATCTCTATGCACATCTGTCCAGGGATGGATCCAGGAGGGTATATTGGTGCACTTGCACTCCCTTTGATTCCTGCTCCACTCAAAGTTTAAAATCAGCTGCCTGGCAGTGGCAGCGGTTTTTCTAGCAGGCAGTCCTGAGAGAGTCAATTGATTTCCTGGCTCATTACAATGTACCCGATCCATTCTAAACTCTTCATTCCACAGCTGTTAACAATCCTCTCTTCTTTTTAACAGTCTTGATGTTCCACCAGTCAAGCTATCCTTTGTTCTCCAATTCTGCTGTCTGTTAGCTGCTCCTGGTAATAAAGCTCCTGTTCACAGCACCGCAGATTGCTTTTAACTCATTCCAATTAAACTCAATTTATTTTTGCTTCAATCTTAAACTGCAAAATACAACCCTAGACTCCTAATGTGTTAGTAAATCTCCTAGTTTATTTTTAATGGGAGAAAAAATGTTTTATATGTGATGATGCAACTTACCATCTGCACCCCCTTTTCAAAATTATAGATCCACCCATGCAATCACCTTTTCATATATACAAAAATAACTATCTAGAGACAGCACCTCAATGAGTAGGAGAATGAGTGAATAGGAAGCTTTAAATTTGCTATTTTCTCTTTGCACTGCTCTTTTCATTGCTAAATTTAAATTGAATTAAAACTATAATTTTTTTCAAAAATTGTCATTGGGAAATTTCTGGTCACGGGTCATATTTGACATTACTATGGATAAGTGAAAACGTTAATGTAAAAATAAATAAAATCAAATCACAACCTACGTCTTGTACAATCCACGTCTAATAATCTTACAATGTACAAAATTGTACATGTTTAACACAATCAAACTACAGATTTTAGCTGTCTTAAATTCAAGAATCTAATGTTTTAGGCAGTGGCATTGGCATTACAAGGATTAAAAACATTTTATACAGGATGATTTAAGGTAATGCTAGATTGGCATAAAAATAAAACCTTCAATATCTTAAATGCTCCTCTAGATGGCTCACTGTGCTCAGTTAGTAATAACGCTTAGTTTTATATATCTAACGCCAATTTTTTTTCTATACCTAAAAAGTTACTGAATAGAACAAGTGGCATATAACTACAAAAATTATTGCAGGAGGTAGAGCATACTTCTTTCAATTACAGGTATTTCAGGATATATAAAAGGACTGAACAAGCACTAAATGCACCCTGCAACACAGATCACCAAATGCTATGCCACCTAACTGCAGTACTTTAGCAATTTGTGGGAAATCTTATACTGAGAGAGATTTAGTATCTGTCTATAATTTATACTCCATAAAAAGTAGGAATACTGGCACGATAAAATGAACCAGAACTCTTTTGTCTAATAAATTAATATAGAAAAAGGTAAATGAGATAGCTGTTCAAACGAAATTAACTTCATTTAACATCTTTAGGTAGGATTCAACCATGCAAACCAGGATTCAACCACTCAATTACTTTTATTACATTGACTTAAGTGCAGACAGGATCTAAGAGGCCAATGAAATGCTGGATGTGTGAAAGAGAGGGGACAGCCGTCAAGAATTTTTAAAAATAAGGGATTGACAAGTGCTGCTAGATGGGTCATGCAGATCCACTATTCCTTTTATTCTAATCTTTTTTTTACACTTTCTTAGGAAATGTCTAAAGACTCTCAAATAAGAACTATATTTAAGACAGTAAATGTAGCTGTGGTAGTGATACATTTAACTTTGCTAGTAAATGCAAACTCAAAACAGCAAGAACTGTCAGATCTCCCACTTGTCTACCTGTGAGGAAGACCATGAAAGCTAGATTAACATCAGGTCAGGTATTAAGCGGATGGTGAGGTTCCCTTTCAGATGCAGACTTAAAAGTAAAGCTTGTAACTGAACAGTTTCAGTAAATGTTTCAGTGTCTACACATGCAGTACCTATTAAAACAGAGTAAACTAACCAACTCTGCCATAGGTTAGTACTTGTGTTTTCAAGTACTATCCTATGGCAAAGTTTGTTACTCCACAACAATGCATATATAGGCGCTAATGGGGCTAGCTGGGGCATGAGGGTGCTTCAGTATTGGGGCTGCCTGCCAACTAGCTCTGCACTGAAGTACCCTTGTGCCCCAGCCAGTCCCTCCACAGCACACTGGGCCAGATTGGACCAGCCCCGGGTTGGCAAGCTGGCCCCCAAGACACCCTGCCAGCCAGAGCTCCTGCAGCTCAACATACCACAGTCCCAAACACATGTTCAAATGCAGTGCCCAGGAGCAATAAACTTTGGCACAAACTGTGCCAGAGTTTACTGCTGTATGTTAATCGCGCTTGTAGACATGTCTCCTTATGAATACAAAAGATTCCATTTAGTCATAATTTCTTGTGGCATGAATATTAAAAGTTGCATAAAACACGGTAGTGATATGTTATCAGCAGAACATGCACCTGAGCTGCTTTAAGAGTAATTCTATCCCACAAGTTGGCCAATTGTGACAGCAGCAGAAATGTACAAGTCCAACTCAAGACAATTCACGCTCACGTTACACAAAAGGAGAAGTTCTCATCATTATGTTTTTTGGTTTTAATACCACAAAAAAAAAAAATTGGACCATTACACTGGCAGGTTACAACACACTAGGAAACTTATCTTTTAAGAAAGCTGAATATTAGAGAACTCATTTTCAAACATGTCTTGTCATCTGCTTTTGTGCTAAATTCACTCACTCTGAGCCTGGATTCATGATATGTGGAAGAAATAAACAGTCTGAATTCTTAAGGATACCACAGAAATCAGGTGGCTTCTGTCAGGCTTATTTCTATTTATTTTCCTCAGTACTCATGACAATGATATAACCCTTCACGAAAAGTTCTTATATTTCTTGTGAACACATCTCCAAAGGATAGAGCTGTTAGAAAAATCTAACTTATTAACTGACACAATTAGAGACATAGCCATGTTAAATGGAAAGTTAGAAAAATAATCCATATTTCTAAATTGAAAGTTATATGCAGTATGGCCAATATTAAAATGCTACTGTTCAGCATTGTTAGTAACAGGCCCATCTTATAAACAGTATTCATATATTAATATTGTACAAGTGAGAAATGACAATGTAAACATACTCTACCACTGTGCAATTCCACTCCATAAAATTCAAGGGTTCGTGCTATATTTATATAACAGGACTCTGCTTCAGATTGCTTGAGGCCACTAAGAAGAAAAAAAACAAAGGTATTTAATACATTTAAAATTAATAAGGACAAGAAATTAAGGTCACTGAACAGACAATTTTAACTTATTATTAAGGTGCCTTTGCAATGCAAAAGAATCCTTTAATCCAAGGAGTGACAGGTTATCTATAAATATCAAGCAGCAGCTAATTAGCTAAGTATGTTAGCTCCTTCTAGACTCCTTCCTTACACTGTGGAGAAATGCATCGCACAGCTCCACTGGAAAACTCTCAAAGTCATATTCCCTTTTAATTGCAATTAAAAACAAAAACTAATGAACAAAATATGGACAGCTGTTTACAAGGGTGGGGAAAAAAAGACGACCCTCCAAAAAACAGGGAGAGGAAGTGCACAATGGAAAGAGCAGACTAAGGGGAAAAAATGGAAAAAAGGCAAATTGTAAAATTTGGAACCAAAACTGGATCTAAAGTTATATCTACTTTAGCATCTGATGAATGAATAAAAGAAAGCCAGGAAGCCTTAGGATGTTTTATTTGCTTCTACCACAACATAGAAAAAAAGAAAAGAACGAGCTGTGATATTTAAGAGGGGTTTGTCTTTTCTTTCCAGCATAGGAGAGGATGAAGACAATAGATTTCCTAACTGGTAATAAATTTAAATCAGCAGGTATCACACCAACTGACCTTGAGATCTCTGCCATGTTTAGGGCAAAACAAAATTTGGTTTTTGGTACAGGTAACATGGAAAACTACCCTGGGTGCGAATCCTGGATTAATTCTAAATGCCAACTTTTCAAAACAAGCAAGAACAAAATCTCATAGCAAAGTGCTTTCTGGATAGACAATGTAATGTACTAACTGATCATGTCAGAACAAATGCCTGCCAGCTAATAATACAACCTTAACAGAAAAAGCAAAATGATGACAAAGATGACCTAGCACGACAGAATCTGGAATCAAACTCAAAAGCAGCTAAACCTTTACAAGACAGTCTCTGGAAGATAACTGAGAAAGGCCTCTTGGTCTGACAGTCCCAAGACTAAGCCTTTAAATTAAGCTGCCAAAGGCAACTTAAACAAGAAATTCTAATACGCTAGCCATGGCATTGAAGTAATGTTAACAACAACATACAATGACTTTCCAGAGGTAGTAGTAACACTTGTAGTAGTAAAAACCTTCTTAAAAATTAAAGGTCAGTTTTTGTACGCTCAAGAGATTAAGATTCCTAACCATCCTCTGATGGGCGCACAGTGCAGTGGTGTGGGAGGGCATACTGTGTGAGGCCCCAGAGGCCCATGTCCCTCTCACTAGTGTGGCTCAGGGGGTGTGCAAGCCCTCTACTGCTTAGAAGTTGAATAGCCCCTGGCTAATGTTTGCTTTTATGGGAGATAGGCAAGGAAGCCAGAATACAGCACAGTATGGGAGGGCTGAGTTTTCAAGTTTTTAGGTGTCATTTAGGGAATCTACGGTTATTTTTTATTTGCAGGTTGTCACTTACTGTAAGCCATGTGAGTCTTTCTAGATAGAGCAGAATATAAATCTAAATAATTATTATTATTCAGTCCAGTGAAGAGGAAACCACATTTCATTTTCAGCTAATGAGGGGACCAGACCTCTGCATAATTAACTAACAATATGAAGTTGATAACCATGTCTCTCGCAATGCCTCTGGCACTCCATATCCAGAAGTACTTCTACACACTGGTGCAAAGAAAGTCATAGGTAGGAAAGCAGGGCTGGAAGGGACCTCACATTGTCATCTAGACCAGCTCCTGTTCAAGGAAGGATTGTCTCTAAACCATCCCAGCCAAGTGTGTCCACCCTGCTTTTGAAAATGTCCAGAGATGGAGATGCTACAAATTCTGTAGGTAGCCTGTTCCCGTGCTTAACCACTCTCCTAGTCAGAATGTTCCTCCTAATCTCCAATCTAAATTTCCCTTCCTGAATCCTGAGGCCATTGCTCCTAGTCCTGTCCCCTGAAGCCACAAGAGAAAAGCCCATCTCCATACTCTCTCTAATTACCATTTAATTATCTGAAGACTTATCAAATCCCTTCTTTTACCTCCTCTCCAGACTAAATAACCCTACCTCTTTCAGCCTAAGCCATGCTTTTCAGGTCCTCAATAATTTGTCACTCTCTACTGGACTTTCTCCAATCTGTCCTCATCTTTCTGGAAGCATAGGGTCCAGAAATGAATACAGTACTCCTAGTAAAACCTCACCAATGCTAAAGAGGGCAGAAGATTCACAAGTAGCACTCCTGTTGATACAACCCAATGTGCTGTTGGCTTTTTTGGTAAGAAGAACACTGTTGGCTCATATTCAGCTTCCGGTCTATGGTCTATCATAACTTCCAGGTCCTTCTCTGCAGTACTGCAGTCTAGCCAGTCATTCCCCAGCCTGTAATTGTGCATACAATTATTCTGTCCCAAGGGCAGGGCTTTGCACTTGTCCATGTTGAATCTCATCTGATTGAATGCAGATATTTCTCCAGTCTATCCAGGTAATTCTGGATCCTAGCCCTGCTCCCCAGAGTGTCTGCAACTCCACATAACTTGGCATCATCCACAAATTTGCTAAAGCATACACTTATTCAAAACAGGTTCCCCAGGCATCTTTCTTGGATCTGGTATTGAAGTCAATTACTTCAAAACAGTAATAGTCATCCTCGTTCTCTAGCTACTTGCTAAGCATGCTGCTACTACAATGGCTATAACCTTCACTCAAAAAACACGTTCCCAATTTGGATCAGATAGCTGTTTTGAGACAGTATCCCTTTTCTACAACTTCAGACAGGCAAACTCTAAAGGTACAACAACAGAGAGTAAAGAATGAATAGAAAACTTGTTAAAATCATAAATATGTAGACAAATCCTAAAGCAGATTTCTAGTTTTTTAACAAGATGAAGCAAGGACAGATAGCAAAGATTCATCAAGTTCTTCAGGAAATTCAGTACAGTTCATAAAACTTCCCCATCCATCTTTCACCCATAGTAACTCAAAGGGAAAGAAACACATAAAAGTCTTATCTTTTTACTAATGTTTTTACTGAGTTCTTACTAATACTTCACTAAGTTGATACCATGTTTGTGCAACTAGGGTACCTGTAGACACTGCTCTGACACGCTGTAATTACAGTATGGTGGAGCAGACTTGATGAATCAAGTCTGCTGGATTGTGCTAATTAGCCCACTCGAGCAGCCTCTGTGTGTTGTGTATTCAGTGTCCCTGCACTTCAAAACAGCAGGGGGGGAGGAGCTTTAACTAAAGCTCACTGAATGAACTTTAGTTAAACCACTCCTGTTGCCATTTTGAATCATGGAATGCTGAATACATGAAACGGTACCGGTGCTTTAATTAAAGCGGCACTCAGACCTGCTCTAATTAAAGCGCCCCTCTCAACTACCCCCTGGAGAACCTGTAAATATGCTCCTAGATTCCTTGAACTCTCTAAAGAGAATAAGGGAAGAGCTGTTCACAGTGTACTTCTTGCTTTGGAGACCATGGAGCTGCAGGGAGATAATTTAAAGAGAACCTGTTCTAGACACTGTATGTAGTTGGTGATGTTTGTACCTCACCATCTGCCACTCTAAGTTATAGTGCCCCCCCACCCCCAGCCCAATGCTAACAATGGAGAATATTTTCCCCATTTCTTCTTTTCTCTTCCAGATCATTATCCTGTCTTAACAGTAGCAATCATCAAATGTTTCAGTGGAAGATGCAAGGAACATTGCACTAAAATCTAAATATGCTTGTCTCTCCTCGTTCACCTCTTACGGTCTTATCTCAATCCCCAGAAGAAACTGACCTGAACCCTGAAGGGGCTTAGGCTCATGAAAGCTAAATGCTCTGTCTGCAAAACATTTGTTTCCTCAGTTTTTAATACTTAATTTAGACAAATGGCACACTTAAACTCTGATTATTAATATTCTGAGGTACCTGCAGCATCACAAACCACAGCACCACACACACTTGACTCTGAAGTTTGAATGGTATAGAAAAAAAGTCTTGTGAAAACAGAAATCTCCTTCCTCAAAGGCCCCATTTTCATTCATATCGATAGTGACTTCTAATCTGTCATCTGAAAGGATCCAAATGAGTAAACATCTCCCACACAGTAAGATGTGATGAGAAGCCAACCTCACCAGAACTCAGAATACAAATCTCTGGCTGCACCACTATCTCTGGCTCACAATATCTGCACAGATTGCAATCACGGGTTGAAGGATGGTGGGGAGTAAACTTCAGATTTTACACTCCAAACAAGGAACCAGACACGATTAGCAGCAACTTTTGACAAGGAGAGCCAATTCCTTATCGTGGTGTGCAATCTCACTTATGCCCAGAATTCAGCTGTACGACTAATCCCAGTAGGCTACCTCCGTGGCCTAGAGATGTCAACAGGGGAGAGATGAGACAAAATACAGGGCAGCAGGCAAAAGGACTGCTGGAAAAAAAAATCACACTTACAGCCTAAATCTTTGATCTCAAAATAGAACTCCTATGAAAATGCAGATGCCTGCATCACAAAGGGAGAACACTGAAGCTAACAAAGATCTGTACAATGTACTGCAATGTTTATCCTATTAGCATCTTCTGTGGCCTTTGTGGGTGTGATTAATGCAATCAATCAGACTGCAGGATTTGGTCCACGTGAAAGAAACACCCTGCTTCGGTGTTATCCACCTCAATCTATCGAAACATTAATCTTCGGTGGAGACAAGATTCCTTTTCTCACCTTTTTTTTTTATTTTCACACTTTTGTTTCTTGTCCAATTACAGTGTTCTAGTTCCACCTTTCCAACAAGCAGCACAAAACTAAGGCTGCGTACACACATTCACAGCATCTGGAAGAATTCTCTTGGGTTCTTTCTCCTGGTAGAAAACACCTCAAGATGCTGGAGGACTCTGCTGTGGCTTCTGTCAGAAAAGAACATTCATTCTCCCAGGATAAAGTCTC